GTCGTAATATCTGTTCAAATTGGATACCTTCTAACTGAAATCAATGGCCACTTTAAAACCACGATTGTATTATCACTAACACAATTCTAATCTCGTCACGATATTATACATGAAAACATTTGGTATAACCTGTTTGTAATTTTTCATCAAGCGAAGAAATAAATTTATCTTCAGAACCTCTGAAATGTTATGTCATCTCGCAAACGTACGTGCAGTCTTGTCTGATAATCGATGTATGTAACGTTTGTGTGCCTTTCTTCAAACCAGAGAATTCAACCAGATAACGTCAAAAACCGATCTCTTATCAACGCCAATAGGAACGTATGCACACGTGTTATTTATTGGAGATTTAATACAGCCATCTTGACTTTCAGATCAAGAAATTATTAATCCCCCCACCAACGCTCGTAAGAGACTGACGCGTAAGAAGTTATCTGCGGATATATGACGCTCTGACCAGCAGAATTCGTATTTTTCTTTTTTTTTTTTTTTTCTTTCTTTCTTTCTTTTTCACCAACAACCTGTCCAGTACACGGACACGATCGGAATTCCCGAGTGGACTTTCTTGGACGGATAATCCAGGAGGGGGAAGAAGAAGAAAAAAAGAAAAAAGCGAAGAACGACGAACGCCGTTAATGCCACACGATCTCGAGGCTGCGTTTCGCACCTGAAGTCTGGCCTTCGAAGCGACGTTTTATGCTTCTACATCGGTATATCCGAGCCACACGAAGTCCATAGGATCTCTGGTACGATGTTTACGAAGGTAAGAGTTGCTCGTACGCTTTTCTTTTTTTTTTCGCAAAAGAAGAATTACGAAAGAAGAACGAAATCGTGTTGAAAAAAAAAAAATCTTATCTAATTAATGTATCGAGTAAAGTCCTTGAGATTGACACTTATATGTTTCATAAAGTGTAACCGGGCATTGAATTGGTCGGAGGAACGTTCAATTCCAGAATTATTGTTTGACGTTGTTATCTAATCTCCGGTTCCCTCGGCAGCACAAGAGATAGATCGAGGATCCACGAGGTTCGCCGATTAGGAACAAAGTTCAACGTCTGGAAGACTTGTTACGTATTGTCCGTCACACCGTAGCAGCGAGTTTACCACTCGAGGCCCGTGATAGATGCCCCCGAAGGAAGTACACACCTAGCCAGCAATCTGAAGCGGGAAAACGAGAGGACGATTGCGCGACATTTGGAGAGCTTTTTATCTCGCATACGAGATCTTCAGGGCGGGACTTCGCGACAGAATGATCCCGGGAAAGGTACCGATTTTTTCACATGCTTCTTCGCGACTGTTCGTTACAATTTTTTTTTTTTTTTTTTTT